CCATACAAATTTGATTTAAATGTTTCGTTTCCCACCACATGCGACATTCATCATGAATTAAATATTAATTCTTTATTATTTATCTTTAATTTCTCTATCTGATATTCCTTCGATCCCTTCAATTTGTTCCTCTTTTTTCTTTAATTCTTCTTTCACCATTCCTTCTCCCACATCAGTTTCACAGGAAAAACACTCACTTACTTTGCTTCAAGCAACTTGGGCCAAATTGGCTGTTGATCCTTCAACTTACTCACGGTAGACCAATCTAATCTGCTTTTGATTTCATGTCTTTGTTCCTCATCTGAAAAGTTCTTTGTGCTTTTTACATGTAGGTTTGGGACTTAATGTAGGGTTTTGTGTTTTTCATGTGTTCTGTCTTTGTGGAAAGGAAATTCTACTGGGAAAGGAAATTCTACTGGGAAAGGAAGGCAATATGTAGAAGTATGGTTTTACTCGAAAACTGTCTTCTAACAATTTGCTGCTCATAATAAAATCAAATTTCAATTATAGTTTGGTGAGTGATGAAGATAAAGACATGAGTCCTGGTCATTATAGAGCTCTATAGATGTAGAGTTAGACTCATATGACCAAGTGAATTTTCAATTGGAAAGACTTGAGGTTAAAGATGATGACGTGGCAGAGGTAAATGAAGGGCATGTTGAATCGTTGTTGAAGAACAGTGTCAATGGTGGCAATGAAGTTTCCATTTGCCTCAAGACACAAGCGAAATGGAATGTTGCAGATTTAAAAATTTGCAATGGCAATAACATCTTCTTGAAAGAGATGGAACAGAAGGTTGGGAGGGTGTCATCCAATGGTTGTGGGGAACAAAATTTAAATTATAATGAGCAAGAATGGTTCTGGTAGCTTAGTCGGTGCTGAAAAAGTGGAATGCTCAATAGAGGAAGGTAGAATAAAAGGTGATGCATTAAGGGGTACATCGCATGATTTGGGCCTAAAAAGTTTGTAATCCTAGTTAGCTACCCCTCAATTCCTAAGATATAAAACTCATTTCATTTTCTTTATAAAAATGTGAATGAAGTTTTCAATATATATAAGCTATTGCGCAGAATAAACAAGAGTAATATAGTGCAGAAAAATAAAAGAGAGGGAAGAGAATATCAAGCCATGATTTATAGTGGTTCCTCCAACCCGGAGTACGTCCACTCCCCAAGCCTCCTTACTCGAGAGTTCAATCCACTATAAATCTCTTGCTTACGAGTGCAAGATTAAACCGGAACAAACTCTTGCTTACGGGTGCAAGATTAAACCCTCACAAGTGAATCTCAACTCACTCAACCCCTTCAAGGATTATCCCAATCCAAGAAGAATACAAAACCCTTGTAAGACAATTAACCCAAAAGCTCACAAGAAGAGAAGAAGAAGGAGATCCAAAACACTTTCAAAAACAAACCCTGTTTTTCTGTATTGCTGGAGCAATTCGTCCTTCTTCATACATCAGATCTGATTTTTGATGTCCTTTTAATAGTTGGTTGGGAGCCTTGCAATTAAAGCCCTTTTAGCCTTTCAAAGCCACCTCACAATCGCCCCAATTAGGATCCACCTTATTCTTCTAACTTGTCTTGGAAAGTGCTAAGACATTTAGATACCCTATGACCCATTAAGAATAAACAGATAGTTAAGCTGTCAAAATTTAACCTTCCAAAATTTTTGCTTCGAAGCCAGAAATATTGGTTCGAATCATTTTTGAAAAAAAGAAGTTTGGGATTGGTTCGAATAAAATATAATTGATTGGAACCCAGAACTCTAAACAAGGAAGATATGATTCAATTATAATCGTGGGGAAAGATTAGAATTCTTGAATTAACTTTCTTGCACACTTAGCACAAAAATATATTAAATTCTTTCGAATCATAGTTTTAAACCATCATCAAAATACAAAGAGAATCTAACAAAGTGAAGGGGCCTATTGTAAGGAGAATGAGCTAAAGGGGCCTAGTGGAGAGGAGGACACAAGAATTAGCCCAATTAAGAATAATCTAAGTGGGCTGGCAACAAATGAAAATATACGAGCCTCCAAATGGTTAGGCCTACACCACTCTTGTACCTATATGAGCCCCACATATGCAATTGATTAAGGTGCCACTGGGGTTTGATGGCAGACATTTTATGAGCTTTGGTAAAAAGAATAGAGATGGTCAAACCTCACAAGGCACATAGAAAGAATACCAAGGAATTTTGAAGTTTCCCCTCAGCTAAGGATGCAAAGGGGAAAAGGAAGTTGGCTCTGAATGCATTTGAAGATGGAAGGATGCCTAAGGTTAGACTGGACGACTTAGGCACTATAGTGGCAATGCATGCAGATGTCTTTCATCCATTTGCAGATTAGAAATTTATTTGAGTCTAGATAGAGTATTGTAGTGCTAGGAGACACTACATCACCATGTCTTATGATCTCTCATGCTAGGACTAAATGATAAAATAAATGTGATTACCAATAGTGAATAGAAAGTTCTAGAGTAATATAATCTATGTCTTTACATAGTTTTATTAATTCCCGTA